CACTACCCCTCCAAGAGAAATAACTATTACATAAAAAAAAAACTAGTCGAGGACTGAAAGTGACTTCTTCAACCGAACACTTTAGACTAAGCTAAGTCCGCAGATGCACATTGTCTGCCACCATTTCTTTTTTCCTGATTTCTCTTTTTTTTACTATATTTTTTGTATATTAAATATATTTAAATAGTACAGGTTGTTATGTTTCTTTCTCTACAAAAACTGTCACGCAGTTATTTGAGCACCCGAAGACTTACTCTCCGTAAACATAGGGCTGTATCTTGGCGTATGACCATATTGGCTGTGTTACTGCTGTTACTATTACTACTGATAATACTGCTACTGCTGATGCCTATCCATATATGCAGTCAACGTAAACAGAACCTTGCGTATTAATGATTCACATACACAAAAGAATGGAATTGTATCAAGGCACACAGATACAAAAAGAAAGAAAACAATTTGACATTTGGATCGTTAAATAAATGTAACTATCCCCCACTTTGTGAACATTTTTCGCCTTTATTTATTCAACAATTTTTAATCTTCTATAAAAGTGGTGACTCTGTAAGAAAGCAGGACGCGATTATCTCCCTTTTTTTAAGAACGAATTTACGACGGTCACATTGACGGCCGGTGAGTGACGTCCGTCTGGGACTGGCGACGGCTCGTGTGGTTAATGAACACTAGTCGCTGTGCAGACGGTGTGGAATCGCAGATGCGATGGATTGCGGCGGTGAGGCGAAATAATGAAAACTATTTTGTGCAAACAAGGAAAATAAAAGACATCGCCAGGCCAAATATTACTGGTAAGAGCCTCATACTTTCTGTTACAAGTAAGACCCTCACAGTCTTGTTCACACTGCTTGTTTTATCTATACGTGTTATAGTTTTTGAAAAATAGTGACAAGCATATAGAGAGTGTCCCAAAAGTCACAACGGGGTTTAAAAGTGACATTACTCCTTAAGCAGACAATATAATTAATTTATCTTTATGTAATGATGAATATTATTAAATAGAATTTAATTAAATTAATTATGGAAAAACACATGGGAAATGACTAACATTTTCGGCAATACATTCACAGGAATTAGATATCGAATAAAACTTTCTTGTTCGTTCGCTAGCTCTTGAATTCACCGAGCTAAGTTAAGACGTTGTTCCCAATCTTCACCAACTGGATTTTGTAACGGAACAAAAGAAACAATGTATAGAGTCCTGAATTTCATTATTCCCTTCTTTCTTTCTCCTGCTTCAAGTCTCCTCTTCATCTGTGAGGAAATTGTCCAGCATTCACTGCCATATAGGAGGATTGATGTTAAATAGCAGTTCATCACTCTTTTCTTTGTTTCTCTTGCTTAAAGTCTCCTCTTCATCTGTGAGGAAATTGTCCAGCATTCACTGCCATATAAAAGGATTGATATTACATAGCAGTTCAGCACTCTTTTCTTTGTTTCTCTTGCTTCAAGTCTCCTCTTCATCTGTGAGGAAATTGTCCAGCATTCACTGCCATATAGGAGGATTGATATTACATAGCAGTTCAGCACTCTTTTCTTTGTTTCTCTTGCTTCAAGTCTACTCTTCATCTGTGAGGAAATTGTCCAGCATTCACTGCCATATAGGAGGATTGATATTACATAGCAGTTCAGCACTCTTTTCTTTGTTTCTCTTGCTTCAAGTCTCCTCTTCATCTGTGAGGAAATTGTCCAGCATTCACTGCCATATAGGAGGATTGATATTACATAGCAGTTTAGCACTATTTTCTTCCTTTCTCTTGCTTCAAATCTCCTCTTCATCTGTGAGGAAATTGTCCAGCATTCACTGCCATATAGGAGGATTGATATTACATAGCAGTTTAGCACTATTTTCTTCCTTTCTCTTGCTTCAAATCTCCTCTTCATCTGTGAGGAAATTGTCCAGCATTCACTGCCATATAGGAGGATTGATATTACATAGCAGTTCAGCACTCTTTTCTTTGTTTCTAATGAATATTTCATGTTTCTCAATAATGAATCTCTTACAGTTAATGTACACCAAGGTTTTGCATGCTGTTTTTAGTAAATAAGTTCTTAAATAATGCAGGATATTTGAATCATTAAAAACAAATTTAAGATAGTTAAAATCAATTTCCATAACTAATTAGTTAAAAGAAAAATTAAACATTTAAACACTAGACGTGAATCCCTTTACGTAGCTTCAATGTAAATTTTCGTTCTTTTGTATTAACATTAGATTTTGGAGACGCCGGTCACTGACGAAACATGCTAAGGTAAAATATTTTGTAAATCGTCTTATAAGGCTAGAAGGTGTTAAATGGGGTAGGAAGATTTTGTTACGCCAAGCGGATATTTCATTTCTGCGATGAATGCAGGCATCGGAAATCCTGTCTTAAACTGTGTTCAAACAATGAACTCTGATACCAGTTGGGAGTGTGCAACAACCTCAGGTGCTAATTAGAGATAGGCAGGTGTGTATGCTGTGCGTAATGGCAACGATTTGGACAATCTGAAGACTTCCTTGCGTATTAATGGACGGTCACCGAGTCCGAACCTCCTCAAACAATTGGAAAAAAAAGAAGAAAAAAAAAAAAAGAAAAAAAACGTTGGAAGCACTTTGCATAGAAAAGGGTGTCCATTGGAAGCAATTCGGGAACTTAAAAAGATTTTTCAATCTTTGGCAAATTGAGCAAATTACATTCCTTGTGACATATCGGGTTTTTATATTCAGAAAAAGGGGGAAACAAACAAACAATCGATATTCATAGGAGGTGGTAGCTCATCCAGATATTACGTTTCAATAAGCATTTTGGAATAGTACGATCTAAGTGACGAAATGGGTCAAGGAAAGAGAGGGAAAGAGTAAGAGGAGGATGAGGATCCCATGAAAAGGAGAAGGAGGGAAAAGGTAGGGACAAGTGGAGTAGGAGGTGGAAGAGGGACATCAAATGAGAAAGAGGAACAGTGTAAGGGAAAATGAAATAGGAGGAGGATCAAATGAGGAAGAGGAAAAGCGTAATGATAAATGTAGGAGAGGGAGGAAAGGCATAAGGACAGTAGAGGAGGAGGAAGAAGATCAAATGAGGAAGAGGAAAAGCGTAAGGAAAAATGGCTGAAAAGCATATGGACAGTGGAAGGTCCAATGAGGAGAGGAAAAGCGTAGGGATAAATGGAGTGGAGTAGGAGGAGTATCTAATGAGGAGGAGGAGAAGCGTAGAGAGAAACTGAAGAGGAAGAGGGGGGGAAGCAAGAGAGCAGTTGAGGATGAGGAAGAGAATGATCCAATGAGGGGGGGGGTAAGCGTAAAGAAGAATGGAAGGGGAGGAGAATATAATGAGGTGGAAGAAAAACATAAGGTTTAAATGGAGGGGGAGGATCAAATAAAAAAGGAAAAGCCTAAGAACAGGGGAGGCGGAGGAAGATCCAGGGAAAAGTAGGAGGAAGAAATGCATAGGCGCGAGTAGAGGAGGAGGAGGAGGAAGATGATATCAGGAGGAGGAAGAAAGACGTAGAATGTGGAGTCGAAGGATGAAATTAAGATGATGAGGAGGAAAAGCGCAGATGCACGTGATGAAGGAGGAAGACGAGATAAGGAGGCGGGAAAACGTTGGACAATCCAAGAAAGGGCGGAAGAGATAAGGAAAAGGAGGAGGGGGAAAAGCGTAGGGACAAGTGGAGTTGTAGAAAGAGCGTAGGAGTAAGTGAAGGGGAGGAAGATCAGATAAAGAGGCGGCGGCGGAGGGAGGAGGAGGAGGAGGAGGAGGAGGAGGAGGAGGACTAATCAAAGATCGAAATCAGGGAATTAACGAAAGGCGGAAAATATGGCCGAAAAATGAAAAAGAGTGAAAAAGAAATTAAGAATTACGGAAATAAAGAAGAGAAAGAAAGTTCGAAAAAAAAAAAAAAATGAAGATAAAAACGGGAAAGAAAAAGTAACAGGAGAGGAGATAGAAGAAGAAGAAGAAGAAGAAGAAGAAGAAGAAGAAGAAGAAGAAGAAGAAGAAAAGGGATGCGATAAAAATATAGGAGGCATGGTAGACAGGAAAAATAATAAAGTGAAAAAAATAATGAAGAAATTGCAACGAAAAAAGGAAAAGAAGAAAGAAAGGGGCCGATGAAGAATAAATTGTGAAGAAGAAGAGAAAGTGAGAAATGAATATGAAAAGGTAATGAAAAAGTAGACAAAGAATGAGAAGAGGAAGAAGTGAAAGAAAACACAGAAGAGATGATAAAGAAGAAGAAAAAGAAGAAGAAGAAGAAGAAGAAGAAAAAGAAGAAAAAAACAAGGAAACTGGGAACGAGAGATAGAAATAGGAGAAAATAATAAAAAATGAAAAACGAGGAAGACAGAAAGAAAAAGATGAAACCGAAAAAGAAAGTCGGCTTGTAGAATAAAATCTAAAGAGGAAGAAGAAGGAAAAAAAGAAGAAAAAAAAAGAAAAGAGGTGGAAGAAAAAGAGAAAGAGGAACAATGTAAGGGGGGGGAGGAAATAAGGGGAAAAGGAAAACAGAAAAAATTTAAAACGAAAGAAGATATTAAAAGCGACACAACGAAGATGATAACGAAGAGAAAGATAAAAAACAAAAACAAAAACAGATTTCAAGAATGAAGACCATTTTTTCACCTCTTATCTCCATTTAACAACTTTTTCTTTTATCCAACGTTGCTTGCTTCAAAATTACCTATAATTAAATTGACACTTATATGTTGATGTATCGGAGGATGCCAACAGAAAGATTGGCTTTCCGATATCACAGAGTTGATATTATTATTATTATTATTATTATTATTATTATTATTATTATTATTATTATTATGTGGACTTTGTTACATAAGTCCCTCCAATCCAGTTTTTTTCTTTCGTCCTCTATTTTGGATTCTGCCATATTTAAGCAATGTCCGCCATATACAGAGTTTCATCCACCCACACTGTCATTTTTCCCGTTATTATATTTTTTTCCCCTGACAGAAATCAATGTAGCTTCCGGCAGAAATTGCACGAGGAATGCGATTCTTTGTAGTCAAGCTTTTCCTGAATAGCGTTCATTTGTTAGGGAGACGCCATTTCAAACATTGTCTCTTTTTCTTCTTCTTCTTCTTCTTCTTCTTTTCCAGTTTCTTTTTTCCTCTCCGGAGTTTTTGTTCGTTTTGTGTTGTTTCAACTTAACTCTTTATTCTCTCTTGATTTTCATATCTTCTTCCAAGAAGTTATTTCAATATATATATCTTATTCTTTAAGGTTTCTTTTCTTTTCTTTCTTTCTTTCTTTTCTTTCTTTTCTTTCTTTCTACCTTCATCTTTAAAAAGCCTCATCTTTTATCTTTTCTTTTTTTTCTTTCTTTCTTTTTTTTCTTTCTTTCTTTCTTTCTTTCTTTCTTTTCTTCTTTTTTTCTTTTCTTTCTTTCTTTCTTTCTTTTTAAAAGCCTCATCTTTATATCTTTTTTTTTTTCTTTCTTTCTTTCTTTTTCTTCATCTTTTTCTTTCTTTCTTCATCTTTTTCATCTTTTTCTTTTTCTTTCTTTCTTTCTTTCTTTCTTTTTCTTTCATCTTTATTTCTTTCTTTCAACCATCATCTTTTAAAAACCTCATCTTTATATCTTTTCTTTTTTCTTTCTTTCTTTCTTTCTTTTTCTTTCTTTTCTTTCTTTTTCTTTTTCTTTCTTTCTTCATCTTTTCTTTCTTTCATCTTTATATCTTTTCTTTCTTTTATCTTTCTTTCTTTCTTTCTTTCTTTCTTTCTTTCTTTCTTTCTTTCATTTTTTTTTTTCTTTTTTTTCTTTCTTTCTTTCTTCTTCTTTTAAAACCCTCATCTTTTAAAAACCTATCTTTTTTTTTTTCTTTCTTTCTTTCTTACTCTTTTTTCTTTCTTTCTTTCTTACTCTTTTTTCTTTCTTTCTTTTCAACCATCATCTTTTAAAAACCTCATATTTATTTCTTTTTTCTTTTCTTTCTTTTTTTCTTTCTTTCTTTCTTTCTTTCTTTCTTTCTTTCTTTCTTCATCTTTTTAAAAACCTTTTTTTCTTTTCTTTCTTTCTTTCTTTCTTTCTTTTCATCTTTTATTTCTTTCAACCATCATCTTTTAAAAACCTCATATTTATATCTTTTTCTTTCTTTCTTTCTTTCTTTCTTCATCTGTCTTCCTTTCTTTCTTTCTTTCTTTCTTTCTTTCTTTCTTACTTCATCTTTATGTCTTTCTTTCAACCTTCATCTTTTAAAAGCCTCATCTTTATATCTTTTTCTTTCTTTCTTTCTTTCTTTCTTTCTTTCTTTCTTCATCTGTCTTCCTTTCTTTCTTTCTTTCTTTCTTTCTTACTTCATCTTTATGTCTTTCTTTCAACCATCATCTTTTAAAAACCTCATATTTATATCTTTTTCTTTCTTTCTTTCTTTTTTTTCTTTCTTTCCTTCATCTTTTTTTTCTTCATCTGTCTTCTTTTCTTTCTTTCTTTCTTTCTTTCTTTCTTCTTTCTTTATTTCTTTCTTTTCAACCTTCATCTTTTAAAAACCTCATCTTTATATCTTTTCTTTCTTTCTTTTTTCTTTCTTTCTTTCTTTCTTTCTTTCTTTCTTTCTTTCGTTCTTCATTTTTTAAAACCTTCATCTTTTAAAAGCCTCATCTTTATATCTTTTTTCTTTTCTTTCTTTCAACCTTCATCTTTCTTTCTTTATCTTTTCTTTCTTTTTCTTTCTTTCTTTCTTTCTTTTCTTTCTTTCTTTTTCTTTCTTTCTTCTTTTTATTTCTTTCTTTCAACCATCATCTTTTAAAAACCTCATATTTATATCTTTTTCTTTCTTTTTCTTTCTTTCTTTCTTTCTTTCTTTCATTTGTCTTTCTTTCTTTCTTTCTTTCTTTCTTTCTTTCTTTCTTTCTTTCTTTCTTTCTTTCAACCATCATCTTTTTAAAACCTCATCTTTATATCTTTTCTTTCTTTCTTTCTTTCTTTCTTTCTTTTTTTCTTTTTTTCTTTCTTTCTTTTCTTTATTTCTTTTCTTTTCAAACTTCATCTTTAAAAGCTTTCATCTTTTTCTTTCTTTCTTTTTCTTTCTTTCTTTTTCTTTCTTTCTTTCTTTCTTTTTCTTTCTTTTCTTTCTTTCTTCATCTTTATCTTTTTCTTTTTTCTTTCTTTTTTCTTTTTTCTTTCTTTTCTTTTTTCTTTCTTTTTCTTTCTTTCTTTTTTTTTCTTTCTTTCTTTCTTTCTTCATCTGTCTTCCTTTCTTTCTTTTTTCTTTCTTTCTTTCTTTCTAGCTTCATCTTTATGTCTTTCTTTCAACCATCATCTTTTAAAAACCTCATATTTATATCTCTTTCTTTCTTTCTTTCTTTCTTTCTTTCTTTCTTTCTTTTTCTTTCTTTTAAAACCTTCATCTTTAAAGCCTTTTCTTTATTTTTTTTTCTTTCTTTTTTCTTTCTTTCTTTCTTTCTTTCTTTCTTCATTTGTTTTTCTTCTTTCTTTCTTTCTTTCTTTCTTTCTTTCTTTCTTCATCTTTTAAAAACCTCATCTTTATATCTTTTTCTTTCTTTCTTTCTTTCTTTCTTCTTTCTTTCTTTCTTTCTTTCTTTCTTTCTTTATCTTTCTTTCTTTCTTTCTTCATCTTTATGTCTTTCTTTCAACCTTCATCTTTTAAAAGCCTCATCTTTATATCTTTTTCTTTCTTTCTTTCTTTCTTTCTTTCTTTCTTTCTTTCTTTCTTTCTTTCTTTTCTTTTCTTTCTTCATCTTTCTTCTTTTCTTTCTTTCTTTTCTTTCTTTCTTTTCTTTCTTTCTTTCTTTCTTTCTAGCTTCATCTTTATGTCTTTCTTTCAACCTTCATCTTTGAAAAGCCTCATCTTTATATCTTTTCTTTCTTTCTTTCTTTTCTTTCTTTCTTTCTTTCTTTATCTTTCTTTCTTTCTTTCTTCATCTGTCTTCTTTTCTTTCTTTCTTTCTTTCTTTCTTTCTTTCTAGCTTCATCTTTATGTCTTTCTTTCAACCTTCATCTTTGAAAAGCCTCATCTTTATATCTTTTTCTTTCTTTCTTTCTTTCTTTCTTTCTTTCTTTCTTTATCTTTCTTTCTTTCTTTCTTTCTTCATCTGTCTTCTTTTCTTTCTTTCTTTCTTTCTTTCTTTCTTTCTTTCTAGCTTCATCTTTATGTCTTTCTTTCAACCATCATCTTTTAAAAACCTCATATTTATATCTCTTTCTTTCTTTCTTTCTTTCTTTCTTTCTTTCTTTCTTTCTTTCAGATTTCATTTTTCTTTCTCTTTTAAGCCAAAGTTTCTCCAAACCATCTTCATTCATTCTTGTTTAAATTATTTCATCCTTTCTTCAAATCTCAACTTTCTTTTGTTTCATATTTCTTTCTTTCTTTCTTTCTTTCTTTCTTTCTTTCTTTCTTTCTTTCTTTCGTAATCCGTAAGCCTTTTACTGACATCTACAATCCATATATTTCTGTTTTTCTTTCTTTCTTTCTTTCTTTCTTTCTTTCTTTCTTTCTTTTTTTCTTTCTTTCTATATCTTTCTTTCTTTCTTTCTTTCTTTCTTTCTTTCTTTCTTTCTTTCTTTCTTTCTTTCTTTCATCTTTCTTTCTTTCTTTCTTTCTTTCTTTTCTTTCTTTCTTTCTTTCAACCTTCATCTTTTAAAAACCTCATATTTAACCTTTCTTTCTTTCTTTCTTCATTTGTTTTTCTTTTTTCTTTCTTTCTTTCTTTCTTTCTTTCTACCTTCATCTTTTAAAAGCCTCATCTTTATATCTTTTTCTTTCTTTCTTTTTTCTTTCTTTCTTTCTTTCTTTCTTTCTTTCTTTCTTTCTTTCTTTCTTTCTTTCTTTCGTAATCCGTAAGCCTTTTACTGACTTCTACAATCCATATATTTCTGTTTTTCTTTCTTTCTTTCTTTCTTTCTTTCTTTCTTTCTTTCTTTCTTTCTTTCTTTCTTTTCTTTCTTTTCTATTCTTTCTTTCTTTCTTTCTTTCTTTCTTTCTTTCTTTCTTTCTTTCTTTCTTTCTTTCTTTCTTTCTTTCTTTCTTTCTTTCTTTCTTTCTTTCTTTCTTACTTCATCTTTATGTCTTTCTGTCAACCATCATCTTTTAAAAACCTCATATTTATATCTTTTTCTTTCTTTCTTTCTTTCTTTCTTTCTTTCTTTCTTTCTTTCTTTCTTTCTTTCTTTCTACCTTCATCTTTTAAAAGCCTCATCTTTATATCTTTTTCTTTCTTTCTTTTTTCTTTCTTTCTTTCCTTCTTTCTTTCTTTCTTTCGTAATCCGTAAGCCTTTTACTGACTTCTACAATCCATATATTTCTGTTTTTCTTTCTTTCTTTCTTTCTTTTTCTTTCTTTCTTTCTTTCTTTCTTTCTTTCTTTCTTTCTTTCTTTCTGTAAAGCGTCATCTTTCCTTCAAACCTTGTAATTTCTTCTTACATTCTTTTTTCTGTTTTCGTTCTTTTTTCTATCAAGCGTTGTATTTCTTTCTTTATCTTTACCTTTTTTTAAAGCTTTGCCTTTCTTTCTTTCTTTCTTTCTTTCTTTCTTTCTTTCTTTCTTTCTTTCTTTCTTTCTAGCTTCATCTTTATGTCTTTCTTTCCACCTTTATCTTTTTAAGGCCTCATCTTTATATCTTTTTCTTTCTTTCTTTTTTCTTTCTTTCTCTCTCTCTCTCTCTCTTTCTTTCTTTCTTTCTTTCTTTCTTTTAAGTCTCATCTTTCTTTCGTTTTCTGATTTATATTTCTTTCACGTCAATATTCACCCTTTCTTTCTTTCTCCAACTATCTTTCTATATTCTTTCTTTTTTTTAACCCTCATCTTTCTTTTTCGGTTTCGCATTTCTTTCAACGGAAATCATTGTTTATTTGTTTTTTCTTTCTTTCTTTCTGGCCTCATCATTCTTTTTAGAACCCTTTCATTTATTCTTTCTTTCTTTTAGTCATCATTTTTTCAAATCTCATTCATTCATTCATTCATTCATTCATTCAATCTTTCTTTCTTTTAACCATCATCTTTTCAATTCTGGTTCATTTTTCCGTTCTTTCTTTCTTTATTTCGAACCTCTTATTTTGTTTACAAACCTCTTTCATTCTCTTTTTCTTTTAATCCTCATGTTTTAGCCTCTTTTTTCTTACAAGCCTCATCTTTCTTTTTCAAACCCCTTTCTTTCTTTCTTTCTTTCTTTCTTTTAGTCGTCATTTTTTCAAATCTCGTTCATTTTCCTTTCTTTCTTTCTTTCTTTCTTTCTTTCTTTCTTTCTTTCTTCCAAGCCATATCTTTCTTTTTCGAACACCCTTCATCCTCTTTTCTTACCCGTTACTTTCTTCCTTTTTTTGTAACGCATATTTTTTTTAAATCTCTTTTTTTTTTCTTCCTTCAACCCTACCTTACACCGGGTTACGAGATTTTTACCCATTCCTAGCAAAATCCAATCTTGCAAACTCAATTCTCAATACCCAAATCTGTAGCCAATCAAAATGGGCAAAACAGTTTGAGCGTTCGCCTGGTCTGTAATTAACCGGCGGTCAAGTCACAAAGGAAATTATGGTGACGTTTTCACTTTTACCCACAAAAATACAACCAACCAGCCACACAAACATATATACATACACACACACGCACGCACACACACACACACACACACACACACACACACATATATATATATATATATATATATATATATATAAATGTGTATAGGCTGATAGATAATGACACCCATGTATTTATGTATGTACCTACATATACATACATAAATACCCGGCTACACTCGATTTCCGCGCACTCCCTATCGCGGGCACCTGCCCAGACACATTTGTCTTTATTTAACAGACACAGAGCTAACCCATGTTTTATACTGCAACTATGATGAAATGCTGGAAGATGCCATATAGTCTGCGATGATTAGTTCGCTCAATGCCATCAACCCCATCAAACGCTCAAAGCATCGCTCAAAACCATCGCTGAAACCATTGCAAAAAAACATCGCTTAAACCATCGGTCAAAACCATCACTCTAACCATCAATTAAACCATCGCTCAAACCGTCACTCAAAATCACCACTTAAACCATTCCTCAAAACCATCGCTAAAAACATCGGTCAAAACCATCACTCAAACAATCGCTCAAAACCATTGCCCAAAACCATCGTTGAAACCATTACTGAAAGACATCGTTCAAAACCATCGCTCAAGCGAAACGCCGAAAACCATCGCTCAAACCATCACTCAAAATCATCACTAAAACCATGCCTCAAGACCATCGCTAAAAACATCGGTCAAAACCATCACTGAAACCATCACTCAAAACCATCACTTAAACCATCGCTCAAAACCATCGCTTAAAGTATCGTTCAAAGCCCTCGCTCAAAACCAGCGTTTCAAACAATCTCTTGAATCATCGCTCAAACCTCTCGCTCAAAACCTCGCTCAAAACCATTGTTCAAACGATCGACAGTTTTTGAAAAGTCCCCTCTACCTAATTTTACTCAGAAAGCTTAGATGAATCAGTAGACTGGTGTGGTCAGAAATGAGGGGTGGTTCATTATACATACAGGGTACGATGGGTAAATTGTCACTATTTTATATTTTTAATTTCGCGCATGCGCGTTGTTTGACTTTGTTGACTGCACAGTTTAGTAGGGTCAATTAGGCATTGTCTGTGAGAAAGAGAGCGTGATGACGTGATTTACTGCATCAGAAATTTGCTGTCCTGATTGGCATTCACGCTGGAAGCTCCTATACGAACATTTCAGAATGTTTGTTTGTCAATCTGAGGACAGGATCTGAATCTCATAAAACTCATTCTGATAAGAAAATAACTCCCGGAGGCCTACATCAAATGCCCTGGTCCAAGAGTGTGGTCGCTGGAAAACTCTATGTCTGGCAATAGGACTCTGCAACATGCCACACAAACAGGAGAATCCAGTCATGGCTGTCAGACAATTTCTGCGACCACATCACCCCCTTACATCTAGCTACCTAACTCCCTATGTTGCAACCCCTTTCTTTATTATGTGTGGAGTGCAGTTGAGCGAGAGACAAACAAACTCCTTGTAACACCAAAGATGAAGTGAAGGAAAAGATTATGGCAGCATTCACCAACATAAACAAGGAGACTGCCCAGAAGAGATGTGGGAGATTCCGAAGTCGTCTGGAGGCCGTGGGTGAAGCCAATGGCGATTTTATTGAATAAATTTACTCTTTCATATTTCAACATATTTTTGTGTAATTTTGGTAAATATATATCTTAAAATGAGATGTCAGTGATATTTTCATTTTTGTGTAACCAATAACCACATCACCCCCACTCTCTCTCTCTCTCTTATATATATATATATATATATATAATTCATCGCTTAGTTTTGACATTATTTAATACGTTATACTTTTCTTTTTTGCTTCCTCATTGTTTGCCTGTCTGTCCTTTACTTTCTCCTTCTTTACTTTTTAAAACTTTCTTGTCATTCTTTATTCCTTTATTAATTTAAATTCCAGTTTTCTTCAAATTTTCTTTCTCATTTTTACTTCTCCTCCATTTGTTTTTTCCATCTTATTCTTCCATCTTTCAAGATGGCTGTCTGTCTTTTTTTTTTTTTACTTCATCCTTTCTTTCTTTCTTACTTGTTCCTTCTTCATTGCTCTTTTAAAGTTTCTTGTCAGTGTTTATACTTTCATTAATTTAAATTCCACTTTTCTTTAAATATTCTTTCTTCATTTTCCCCCCTCTTTCCCCACCCCATTTTTTGCTTCTTCTTATTCTCTTTCTTTTTTAAATGCTTCTTTCTTTTCCCTTCTAACTTACTTTTTAAACTTTCTTTTCAGTCCTTATTCTTTCATTTTCCTCAGATTTTCTTTCCACGTTTTCCCCTCCCCCCCTCATTAGTTTTTCCCTTCTTCTTCATCACGTAATCTTGTAAAAAAAAAAAAAAAAAAATACGTGCATGTTGGATTGGGTAAAGTGTATTTGTTTTATGAACGGAGATAACTGTAAAATAAATCGAGGGTGTACATTAACATTTTGTCAAGAAACAATAATTGCACTATCAAGAAATTTTCGTCTAAGTAAGTTATTTTCTCTTTTAATAAATATAGCGTTCTTGGGATCGAATTTGTGGTCCAAATTATTTCTGTGTATAACTAATAAATTATAATATATATTAATATTAATTTTAAAACGGTTACAAATAAAAATTCAACAACAACAACATTTACTCACTTTGTTTATTATGACATCACTAAGAAATCCTTCATAGTTTACCTTTCCTTACACAGCTAGCTTTTAGAATATTTTAGAGCGCTCTGAAATTTGTAATTTGAAAACATAACGATATTTTCACTCCATTTTACTTCTGCGTATAAATGCAAGCTACAAAATAAAATCTCCATATTTATCTTGATAAAGTTTCTCAGGTGACGAAACGCATTGGTAAAAATGTCTTCTTTTTGTCTTTTACTTATATTGCCTTTATAGAAATAGTTTATTTATATATTGAATTTTTACATCTATCTATCTATCTATCTATCTATGTGTGTATGTGTTTAAAGTTTCAGATACAAAATATAAGACAAATATTAAAAAAAATGAAAAACTTACACAAAAAAGATGTCATACATAATAATTTATCAACTGCATTAGTCATATAGAGAAATAAATTCGACCACAACTTCGATCTAAAAAAATGTCACACTTATTAAAAGAGAAAATAACTTACTTAAACGGAAAGTTCTTGACAGTACAACTATCGATTCTTGCCAAAATGATAACTTACGCCCTGGATTTTTTTCATCTGTCTTTTTTCTTAAAGCAAATACTCCTTTTCTAAGCCAGTAAGCTATGTGCCATAAATGATACGCGATTAGGCGATCATGTATCTTTCGATACAAGACAGACGAGCCAGTTTTTTTTTCCTGCAGTAGGTTGCCATTTCTTCTGCGGTAGATCAGTTGCGATCCAAGGCTATAGAACCCGGTCTGTTCTGCTATTTACCCATAGCTGGGGAGGGGGACAAGAAGGATTCATACCTTTCCCAAGGGTATTAACATATAAGTGAATGTAACAGATTCGACTAGAATTCGAACTCGAATCTCCGATTCCGCAAATAAAGTCGAAAATGGTAAGAACTCAAAGCCATCTACTGTTAAAATATAAATACATTAGATTGACAATATATATATATATATATATATATATATATATATATATATATATATATATATATATATATATATATATATATATATATATATATAAATGTAAATGGATATAAATCCGACAGAATGAATGAAAATTTGGAAAAAACAAAGAAAAATCATTAAATGCAATTATGTTGTTTAAAATGAATGAAATGTCGACGTCTGACGTTTCGGTTTAATAAACCTTTTTCAAGACAATATTCATTAAAATACAATTCAGTTCAATTGAAAAGGGTTTATTAAACCGAAACGTCAGACGTCGACATTTCATTCATTTTAAACAACGAATTCCATTTAATGATTTTTTTGTTTTTTCCAAATTTTATATATATATATATATATATATATATATATATATATATATATATATATATAATAATATAAATAGTTATACTCGTTTGGAAAAACATTAGGTATTTTGCATTGTAAATGAACAAACCCATGCCCAAGGGAAAATAAGGGATAAAAAAAAAAAGAAAGAACTAAGACCATGAAATTGAGGTGAAAATAATCGTCCAGAATCCAAGCTCAGAGTCCAAAGTAAAAAAAACTTTCAAAACGACTACAGCAAAAGTGTATATATATATATATATATATATATATATATATAAATATAAATAAATAAAATAATAGAGGCACGGATTGATGGGAGAGTCGAGTTTGAATTCCAGTCGAATCCATTACATTCACTTATGGGTTGTTAATCCTCTTCTTATATTAAATTAAAAGCATTATTCTGTTTTATTCTTAACGAATTTTGGTTCCAAAATTTGCTTCAAGATGAAACAGAAATAATGCTTTTAATTTAATATAATTGAATTTGAAGTTTTTTTTTGTTTTGTTTTTTTAAACATGGTAATTCCTGTGTAGCGATGAAACCATATTTTTAAATCAGTTAATTTATAATATTTAGGCTCTGTAAATTTACATTGACCACTGTTTTGTAAAAATAAAAATATCAATAAGAACACCGGATTACATCAGATTTTTTACAATATATATATATTTTTATATATATATATATATATATATATATATATATTCCATTTTACGATAATGTATATATATATAGATATATTCCTTTTTACTATAATATGTATATATATATATATTCCATTTTTACGATAATACTTATATATATAGATATATTCCTTTTTACTATAATATGTATATATATATATATTCCATTTTTTACTATAATATATATATAATACATATATATATATATTCCTTTTTTACTATAATATATATATATATATATATATTCCTTTTACTATAATATGTATATATATATATTTTTTTACTATAATATATATATATTCGTTTTTTTATTATTATATATATATATATATATATATATATATATATATATATATATATATATATATATATATATATATATATATATATATATATATATATATATATATATATATATTCTTTAAAATAATCTGACCATTTGCATTATCATCGTAAATAAAATATTTATATGCTCAAGAATATTAAAATAAAACAGGTATGGAACTGGACAAAAACAAAATACGCAGAACTCCCCCTCCCCTATGTCTTCGGTAGAATTACTCTTCTTCAACGAGGTGGGGATGGTAGATAAAAAAACAGTCTGCCAAATCGAGATTGCAACTCAGTAGAATTCCGTGAGAAATCAATCATGCCGCCCATGATAGAAATCGATGAATATTTTGGCCGGTCTATCGAAGGAGTGCCTGCGGCATTTCTATAATGGCGGAAGCTCTGCTTCCCACAGTCACCACTTTGATTCGCTGTCGAATTCGACGTACGATTTGGCTCTGAAGGTTAAGTACACCGAGGGAATTAAGCAAAAATTCAGCGTGACAAAATAGCAAAATCAAATTAGAGCCTTAGGGAGTCAGCTTTTTAGCATTCTCGATCTGACGCCCAATAGACAACGCTTTACGTCTAGACAGAATTTTCCCCCGATCTAGCATTTATTGATTATATTTTCTCTATATTCATAAATAACTTGCTCAGACTGTTCTTTTTATTGGCAATAAGTCTGTTAATATCTATCTATCTATCTATCTATCTATCTATCTATCTATCTATCTATCTATCTCAGTCTGTTCATATTATCTATCTATCTATCTATCTATCTATCTATCTATCTATCTATTTAAATCTGTTACTATCTGAGTTTGTCAATATTTAAGCCGGATCTATCTATCTATCTATCTATCTATCATATTATCTATCTATCTATCTATCTATCTATCTCAGTCTGTTCTATATTTAAATCTGTTACTATCTATCAATATTTCTATCTATCTATCTATCTATTAATCTATCTACCTTTGACATCTAGTTACGTATCTATCTATCTATCTAATGATTTCTATTGTCAGTTATCTATATTATCTATGACCCGAATTTATGTAAATTTCTTGTCAGTTTCTATTCACCTTTTAAACTCTCTTCACTTTTTTACATCTCTTTCTGGTTCTATTTTCTTTGATTAGCTTCTCTCTCTCTCTCTCCCTCTCTCTCTCTCTCTCTGTCTCTTTACCCACTATATATCTCTCTCTTTCTCTCTCTCTTTCTCCCTTACACGCGCACATACACACTCATATAGATATACTTTCAATTTCAGCGTGAGATCATCTCTGTCATTTGAGGCTTTTGGTGTCTAGACCATAATCTATTGTTTCAAACTTTTGAACAATATTCTTATTAGCTACTAGTGAAACAATTTTGGGGACTCCGCTCGGCCCTTAGCCAGCTACCACGCCGTGCGGGGTGGTACGTCTGTCTAACGGAAACGCAGATGTCCCAAGGCGAATTCAGCGAGGACGGAAACCTGCTTTTGAAGTTTTGCACATTTCAGAATAGCTACTATTCACCTGACGAGGTGCGTCTATGCAGTTTCTAACAGTTGCATCTGCATATCTTTTTTTGAAGCCTCATAACTACAGATTTTTCACTGGTCTATCTGGTGGTTCTATCTAAGAGATGCACAATACTATTATGTAATTGTAATTTCGTGACTTGACACAAGCTTATATATTATATTATATATATATTATATTTATTTTAAATATTTTTTATAGTAAAAGGAAAGAATAGAAAGATATAATTAATCTGGTGTCCAGATATTTTTATTTTTACAAAACAGTGCTCAATGTAAAGTTACAGAGCATAAATTCCAAAATTCGCTTGAAAATGAAACAGAACTAGTGCTTTTAATTTAATTTAAATGATTGAATTTGAAGTTGTTAGTTTGTGTTTTTGAAACATGTTAATTCCTGTGTAGCGAAGGAACCATATTTTTAAATCGGTTAATTTATAATATTATATTTATTATATATTATATATATATATATATATTATAATATATTATATTACTTGAATTATTATATTATAATACTTGAATAAATGAAAGAAGGTAAGATGAAAAAAAATACGAGGTTTGAAGGAAAGATAACTTGAATGAAAGAAAGAAAGAAAAAACCCCAAACATAACGCTTGAAAGAAAGATATATTACTTTAAACAAGAAACAATGAAAAAAAGCTTTGAAAAAAAGAAAAAAGAAAAGAAAGAAATACCCGCTGAAGATTAAAAGAAAAAGAAAGACTCGTAAATAGAACGAAAGTATTTTGATTCAAGAATGAACATTCAGCTAAGTGCCATACTTGATACACGCATGGGCGATCATGTCTCTTTTGATTCATGCCTGAAGTCCTTCCCGCAGTAGACTGCCGTTTCTTTCTGTGGTAGACTGGTAGGCAAAGAAGGCTATAGGACCCAGTCTATCTTGCTATTGTACCCATAGGTAGGTCGATATGGACTTATACCTTTCACAAAGTTATTTGTGGAAGTTAAGTGAATGCAACGATCCCGACTGGAATTCGAACTCGGCTCTCCAATTTCACATTCCCAGCTAATATCGATTAAACGGCAATGCAAATCTAAATGAAAAAATGAAAGAGACTTTGATAAAAAAAAATGAGCCTTGAAAGAAAGAACGAATGATATGTTATTTATATTATATATTAAATGTTATTTATGTTATATTAATGATTTCATATCTTATTTATATTATATATTGTATGTTAATGATATGATGTTATATATTATTTATGTTATATGATAATGATATGAAACATGTTATTTATGTTATATATAATATGTTAATGACATGTTATGTATTATTAATGCTATATGTTAATGATATTTTATATTATTTATATTACTAAATATTAAATGGTAAATGTTATTTATGTTATATGCTATATGTTAATGATATATTTTATATATAATGATAGATTTTATATCTTATTTATATCTTGCATGTTAATATGATATATTATATACTATTTATGTTATATGTTAATGATATATGTTAGGTTATATGTAATATGTTAATGACATATGTTATATGTTGTTACATGTAAAATGTTAATGACATATATTTATATGTTAATATGATATGTTATATATAATATGTTAATTACATATATTATATATTATTAATGCTATATGTTAATGATATGATATATGTTATTTATGTTATGTGTTAATATTATTTATGATATATGCTATATATTAATGATATATGTTATATGTTTTAGTTTTGTATATTTGTATGTTAATAATATGCTATGCATTAATGATAAAAAGTTATATGTTATATGTTAATGATATGATATATAACATGTTATTTATGTTATATGTTAGCAGTATAAATAATATGTTACGTCATATTTTAACGATATATGTAATATTTTATTTATGTTATATGTTAGAGATATATGTAATATGTCATGTTTTGTATATATTAATGATGTTATATATAATATATTAGCTATGTTATATGTAAATGATATGTAGTATATTATTTCTGGTACATGTTAATGGTATAAATAATGTTAATTTTATTTATTAATGATATATGTAATATTTTATTCATGTTATATGTTAACAGTATGAAAAGAAATATGTTATGTTATATGCTAATGTTATGATATGTAATATGTAATTTTTGGTATATGTTAATGATGTTATATATCATATATATAATATATTATTTATATTTTAACGATATATGTAATATTTTTATGTTATATGTTAACGGTATAATATATAATAAAGTTATTTATATTATATGTTAATGATATGGTACGTAATGTATTAATGATATTATATGTTATGTGTTATATTTAAATGTTATTTTACATACAGAGAAATCTCGGTTCTCGAACGTCTCTCATGTAGAACAAATCTTTTTTCGAACAGAAAATTCGAGATGAAAATACCCCGGTTCTCGAAAAACATGGCCGAACCGAGTTAACCCGAACGGAATAATTTCTGAGTCGACCGCCATGTTGTATACATTGGTGTGTTGTGTTGTGTTTTTTTCCCATTTTTTATTTATGTTATATGTTAACAGTATGAAAAATAATACGTTATGTTATATGCTAATTTTATGATATGTAATATGTAATTTTTGGTATATATCAATGATGTTATATATAATATAATATAGATAATATATTATTTATATTTTAACGATATATGTAATATTTTTATGTTATATGTTATGTTTCTCTACATTGATTCCTTTTTGAAAAATAGTTTCGGTTTACGAACATTTCGGGTTACGAACGGCCTTCAGGAACGAATTAAATTCGTGAATCGACGATCCACTGTAATATGTTATTTATGTCATGAGTTAACGGTATGATATGCAACATATTATTTATGTCATATGTTAATTATATGATATGATATATGTTATGCATATAATGAAAAAGACAATGAAGCAGAATCTGGTCCTTACACGAAAATATCCTTGGACTCCCGTGATTCGATAGAAAAATTAGATTCTTTTGCATAATTCCCTGACCAGCTCTTTGGAAAAATAGACGCGTGCCGAATAAATTGTTGCCCAACAAACCGATCAAAAAAAAAAATAAAAAAAATAAATAAATAATATAAAAAAATGGAAATAAGTAAAAGTAATCTACCGTGAACAATCAATCCACGATTATTAGCAATCATTTCTTCTTGGTCAGTGATGGAGAAAAAAAAGAAGCCGAAAACGGAGCTGATTGGGATGCGCCATCATGCAAGCTACAGGGAGATGTGAATAAATTCTTGTCGATCCATCATTCGATCGATCTCTGGTTATATTTATCTATATCGATTCCAATCTGTTTATACGTATGGATATCGATACGGACGGAGACCGACGACGGCAAAAGCACTTATTTCACGCATCTAATGTTTGTTCAGCATAATCATCATTCCTGTCAATGTACTTCATTCAATGCTGAATATTTATAATATAAATCAAACATTATAAAGTGGATATCTATCTATCTATCTATCTATCTATCTATCTATCTAGTTTATTGTTCCTATATCATTAATTCCTATCTATCTATCTATCTATCTATCTATCTATCTATCTATCTATCTATCTCACCCTTTTCAAATCTATCTATCTATCTATATATCTACCTATCTAGTTTACTGTTCCTATATCAGTTAATTTCTATCTATCTATCTATCTATCTATCTATCTATCTATCTATCTATCTATCTAGTTTACTGTTCCTATATTAGTTAATTCCTATCTATCTATCTATCTATCTATCTATCTATCTATCTATCTATCTATCTAGTTTACTGTTCCTATATCAGTTAATTTCTATCTCTCTATCTCTCTACCTATCTCAGTTCTGTTCATATCTATCTATCTATCTATCTATCTATCTATCTATCTATCTATCTATCTATCTATCTGTAGGGTAGAGGTATTAATATATCCGGCAGGAAACGAGAGAGGTATAGGCAGGGAATAGGAATCAGGGTTGGTTTGGTTTGGTTTGGTTTATTTTGTTTTACGGCATATCAACCTGAAAGGGTTATTGTATTCATTTTTAAGATTTTTAATGCTGGTAATATGTTTTTCAAAAATGTATTGCTAACTGTTGTATCGTTGAGGTGAATGATACACAGAGAAGAATGAGTGCTTAATATATTTATTCAGCACCAGTATTCGGTGCTAACAGATACATACAAAAAAAAAAAAAATAAAAAAAAAATAAAACACCGAACAATAAGCTACAAAACAATTAACAAGACAACTTACAAGGAATAGACGAGGGTCAAATGCTGTATAGCCAAACGAAGATCAGCCTGAATATTAATTAGCTTAGTATCAACTTATTAATCAACCGTTGAAGTCCTTAATCGTGGACTATTTAAGGTTATGAGCCAGGCGATCTGGTAGAGTGCTGAAAGGGTGCTAGCTACTCTACAAGAGCTGTTAATAATTTTTCCCAATACTGTATTGCTGGTAATAATATATTCCTGGTAATAATTTTAATTGCTGGTAATAACATTTTGCAAAACTGTATTGCAGGTATTAAAACCTATTTTTACACTTTCATGTGTTTTGACCCCAGTTTGGTGGGGTCAACTATTTGCCCATAGCTGGGACCCTAACAGCTGGTAACACCAGCAATTAAGAGGTTATTCTATCCGCCTCAAAACATCCTGATTAGAAGCATTGCTGTTGGATGTAGTTTATCGTCTTACCTCGTACACGGATGTAGTTTATTGTCTTACCCTGGACGCGGATGTAGTTTATCTTCTTACCCAGGACGCAGATGTAGTTTATCGTCATACCCAGGACGCGGATGTAGTTTATCGTCTTACCCAGGACGCGGATGTAGTTTATCGTCTTACCCAGGACGCAGATATAGTTTATCGTCTTACCCAGGACGCGGATGTAGTTTATCGTCTTATCCAGGACGGAAGGAATCAGAAAGACAGTACTTAACGATTGACATTGCATTTAATATTTAAAATTTTTTTATTCCGTATACACCAATATTATACTTGTATATATATATATGTGTGTGTGTGTGTGTGTGTGTGTAAAAATATATAGAAAATAGGAAAGAACTCGTTAGGTAAACAATCCAAAGTTCTTTAGTATTTTTGTTATTATTTTTAAAAATAGTGCTCGATACAAAAGTAGAGCCTAAATATAATTATTTATTTAATCATTTAATCATATTTTTTTAAAATAAATATATATATATATATATATATATATATATATATATATATATATATATATATCACATATTCAGTGGGGACCTACAAAAGCCCTATGACATAAAAAAAAAATCTTTATATACAAATGTTTTTTTTTTTTTCGTTACAAAAAATATACAAAAAAATATAGGAATGCGAAATAAAGAAGAGAGTATGTACCCATAAAACGAAACTAAAATATAACAAAATATTCAAATTAAAAAAAATAGTCGATGTTAGTGTGACCTGAATAAGTAAGAGCGCCCTCTGTATTCTACCAAGAGACAGAATCAAGAAGCTCTCTCTCTAACGGATCGGGAAGGAGAAAAATAAATGCTGGAGTGGGAAAATCAAAGACTAACCCAGTCGATATGAAAGACATAAGAGACAAAAAACAAACTGGGGAGGTTGGGAATCTCTACATGGATCATAACAAAAGAGAATGCCGGGAAGAGGAGGGGAATATGACTTATATTAACTCGGTAAACAAAGAGAATCTATCATGACCAGTGAAGGGTTCACCAGGAAACCGTCCCGTTGCGCCAAAGGGGAACTTAAAAAAAGAAAGTCAAGGCTGGTTGTGTTCACTTGAGCTAAGCTTGTTAGTTTTCACCCACCTTTGTCTGAAATCTGTCGATAACAAATGGCTATCACTTCCTATCTTCATTTTGATAAGAATAGCGTTCTTATCGCAAAAATCCCTCCATCCTTGCCACGTCTAGCACCCTGACAAACACCATTCGACTTACCCCAGAATACGGGGGCGACACATTATTGCACGCGTATGCAAGCTCGATGGACCCCATGTTCGGGATCGATACGTCACCTCACCGACATAGTCCCAGAACTGGCTCACCCGAGGACAATGGTAAGAAGGCGTGCGAAGCTGTTTCCTCTAGACGAAGGTCGCACCGATAACAGTCGGGCAAATCCGCCGAGGTCCCTTTGAAGTTTATATCAATGAGAGATAGCGCGTACAGAATCAATTGCTAGGTAAGAGAAAACTTACAAAAATACAAAATAATACAAAAAGGATATATATATATATATATATATATATATATATATATATATATATATATATATATATATATATATATAGGTAAGATGAGAACGGATAGAGTACAATTCCAATGTTTATAATATTTAATTTAAAAGTGGGCTCAATACAGAGTAGAGCAAAATATTATTTATTTTAAGATATTAAATTAAAAAAAAATGTCAAAAATCGCTACACAATTGCAGTCGTGTTTCAACGCATATTAATGTATCACCTCAGGCCATTGTAAGTTACTAGCGAGTGAGCGATTAATTTAATTTTAAAAGCAAAATACCTAGTTTTTCTACGAAAAAAAAATCCCTCCAGCCTATATTTTTTGTTTTTTTTTTTCAGAAAAGACAACAACTTTAAAAATAAGAATACAGAAAATACAAAAAAGTATATATATATATATATATATATATATATATATATATATAGATATAGTTGTCTTGATCTATCCAATATCCTTCTCCTCGTCCTTTCCTATATCACTCCTATCTGATCTTGCTCCAAATCTTCTGTAACCCCTTGCGTCCTAGTGGCTTCCATGCCTAATTGAGGTGAAACGCTTAATATATATATATATATATATATATATATATATATATATATATATATATATATATATATTGAGCAAAAAGTCGATAATTCGGAAGAGTCCAAATCGAGGAAAGATAATATTTATGACAACATCCAAAACTATACTCATCACATTTCATCACTACTAAGAATTCACTAAATCTTCACTAATCCTGACTGATGAGTGATTATATCTTAAGAGGTTTCTTGCCTCGAACTTCTGCTGAGAATGAAGCTCACCCCAGACCTCAAATTAAACTTATATATTAGCGCTATCTCAAAAGATGCTGGGGGAATGGCCGCTTCATTTTATCGCTCCAGAACATACCTAATTTCTGCTGCCAAACTCTATCTTTATAAGAGACAGAAAATGGAACATTACTGGCATATCTTGAATGGTGCTGCCCAATACTCACCCTCCAGCTTCGACAGAGTTCAAAAGGGCTTACGCGGCCTTGCGGGTGTTGAATTATGCCCCACCCTGCAATCATTATCGCAAAGACGAAACGTAACCAGCTTTTCACTATTCTATCGCTATAACTACGATCGAGTTACATTCCTTAGTTCCACAGCTATAGGACCCGCTATGCCCTCTTCACGTGTTCCTTTTGATAAAAACCAGGTTCCACTCAGACGGTTTCTTTTGCAGAACTGTTACTTTGTGGAACAGACTCCCGCAAATTTACTAGCCGACATTAAGTGACAAAGCTGAATAAATATTAATTTTACATGTATACAAGGATGGTATGACATCCGTCAGTCTCCAGAGATGTGCACCTGATAAGTTATGTCATTTCCGATGTGCAGGCAGGTTTTTTTTTTTTTTTTATGGACGATCGGCAGTTGCCTATGCTGTACGTCTCCACTTTCTAAGCCACCCATATCGTCCAAGGAAAAGGCCAATATAGATTGGCACAGGTGTCGTTGCAGGAGATGCCAGAACAAAATTGAACATGACATGCGACTGACTTAGGGGTTCCAGCTACGGATTCCAATTCAGAGTAGTTATTCTCCTACTCTGATTGCTGACCATGGCTACAAAGCCTAGACTGTCCTATTAGTTACATATAGCTGGAGGTTTTGAATTCAGTGTTTTCCTTCACCGAGACCGGTTGCCATTCAAAGCTATGGAACCCAGTCTGTCTTGCTATTTACCCATAGCTGGGGGGAGAAGAGGTGGATTCATACCTTTCACAATAGTATTAGCACGTAAGTGAATGTAATGAACTGAAATTCAAACTCCGCTCTCCGATTCCTCAATCCGAGACGCAATCTATTACTCCACCGTGCCTATTCATGCCAGAAGAGTTGGATTCATGCCTTGCCCAAGGGTATTAGCTCGTAAGGAATGTAAATGAACTCGACTGGAAGAACGACTGGATTCAATCTTTCAATCTGAGCAGTAATCCGATCCACTGTGCATTTTCAGGCCTTGTTGGTTTCATGCCTTTTCAAGGTATTAGCACTTGAATGTATTGTTCTTTCGACTGGAATTGATGGCCTCCGATTCTCAATCCGAGCGTGATCCAGTTCAATATATGCCTTTTCAGGCCAGAATGTTTTCTTTCTAGGGTATTAGCACCTATGAATGTAATGTAATGAACCGATTCCTCAATCCGAGCACCACAATCCATTTTTCCACTGTGCCAAGATGGCATGTACAACCTTGCCAGGGTATTGTGTAATGAACTAACTAGTTCCAAATCAAAATGCCACTGTGTGCTTTTCATATTGAATAGCCATATTAATTCGTCGTAGCAACTTGCAGCATCATACAGTTCGACTCTCGCTCTTGAATTGCGTCAGCTATGGCTAAGTTTCGAAAATGCATTATGACTATGTAAAATAGCGACCGTAAACATTCCTGGGGTGAATGATGTCCAACTAATAAAATTAGATTTGCTACAACATGGCGGATGAAAGACAGACATCGCTGTAGGTGGGTCACTGGCAAATGGCAAATAGCAGACGATAATTGATAACATAATGATACTTTTAGGAAATGTCTGTGTTGCCTGATGTGTGCATGGTTTAATTTATTTATATCGAAGTATTTTAAATTTACTCATATATATATATAT